GTGTAAGGGTAAGGTCGGTGAGGGTGGAAAGAGGTGGGATGGGTGGATGAAGGTGTAGGGATGGGAGAAGTAGTGTTGGGCTCGTGGCTTATCCACCATCTGTAGTTTTGATTTTGCTTTGAACAGCATCGAAACTGGCGTCAGTGGTATGATGGTCACGCGCTTCCCATTTTGTACACAGCTTTTCTCCCCCCCCCCCTCCCCTCGGGACACAATGTAGATAAATCTGGAGGTGGGCTTCGATCGTGCCTGTCAGTACCAAATCGGGCTGAGAAGGATACAACAACCCAGTAGAAAGCACGAGACACTATATAAAAATGCTAACTTTCAGTTGGTTGCTTTTAAGGACAAGAAGGGCTAACCCAGATTTCGGGGGTTTCCAGAAATCTTGACCGATACCAAAAGTGGGCATTGTCCTACCTATTGGGGAAGTTTGGTTTCATTTGTGTGTACATTTCTTTTGTTATAGAGAAAACTTTCCTTGTATTTTAAAGAAACTGAACAAGGGACACAAAGTTTACCTTCAATTTTCTCAAAACATTATTTTTCGGGATAGCCCCCTTGTGCTTACAAGCGACCATTTTTAGATTTAATATTTTACCACAAATTTTTAACGTTTTAATTGAAACATTTACCCAAACCAAGCCGTGTTGGGAACAGTTGTTGTGAATGCAGCCAACTTGTGTCTCGCGCACTCATATTATGACCTTATGCAGTTGCGAGCGTTGTAAAACTCTTTTCTAAACAAACAGCAAGGGAATCAATCGAACCCACGTCGGCTGCAAACAACGGAAAAGCATCTTGCCTCTATCTACACAACAGACGCCGTGGTTTCGATAAACTCGTTGCTCATTCGAAACGAAGGTGGTAGCCTTCTAGATCTAGTAGCCTTCTGCTAAAACATCAGTCTTCTCTCTGTTTGTTGTGTCGCTATAAAAATTATGTAGAGTAACAAGAGCTCGTGACGGTGACGTGTCATGAGTGTCAGACTTGGGTTGTTTGTTTTTTTTTTTTGTTTTTTTTTGACAGCATGGCCGGTGTGCCCCCATTTACATGGCGAACAATCTGAGCCCCCACCCTGTTCCCCAAGAGCTCTAGTATATTAAACGCCGCCCTGCCCCCACCTTTCAGTGCAAGAATGTGAAGAAAGATGGCTATATATGTATATATAGTGTGTCTAGAATTGTGATGATGATGATGATGATGATGATGATGATGATGATGATGATGATGACAGGTCTTGAAAGTTTTTCTTACTAACAGTGTCAATACTTGGTATCGATAACTTCTTACTCGTTCAACGGATTAGTAAAGCCATATTGGAAAAAATAAATAGACTCTCAAATCAAGTCAAATTTTAACCTGTAAAGTTAAAGACGCCCCAAACAAGTTGCCCATTTTGTCATTACCGCTCAAACTAAGCGGGCCTTTCCGCACACCTGCAGATGTATTCGATCGTCGAAGAAATAACGTACGTTCCACATATCGGATTCAAACTCGTGTCTTCTACTTCTGTGTGCAATGGTGAACACCCTGGCCCTTACACATTACACCTCACCACTAACGCCACTGCATTCTTCTTAATCTACGTCACTGGTCAATGAAAAAAACCCCAACTAAAACGAAACAAAACAACAATAAAGCTAATAAAAAGAAATATGTTTCTCACTTGTAAAGAGATACTTTAAAAATGTTTATTATGTTTTTAAAAAATGACTCCTGCCTTCATCGTCAGCTAAAGGCTTACATTTATTTGCGGAAAAAAATGTTGATTCCACCAAATGAATTTTGCAACAAGATCGCCACCCCTCTCTACAGGGAACAACTCATGTGTCTCCCGGACTATCCTATGTCGGGGAGGTAAGTGCTGCTAGGGGATTCCTGGTCTCGAGTTACCGGACCTGGGGTCAAGGGGGGATAAGCGGTAATCACTGTTAGACACAACTCGTTACCCCGCAATGCCTGCGGAAATAACGTTGTCCTAACACGCATCAGTTTCTCTCCGGTACTTAGTCGTGGCAACCACAGCACTTCTTTTAGTCTTTTTTTTTTTTGTTCTTTTTTTTTCTTTTTGTTTTCAGAAAGGGCAAGTAGGTCCTTAATCTTAGTAAGAAAGCAAGTTAGTAAATAAGTAAGTAAGTAAGTAAGTAAGTAAGTAAGTAAGTAAGTAAGTAAGTGAGTAAGTAAGTAGTTAAAGTTCATTTTCTTTTTTTTTTATATAAAAAAGTAAGTGAAGTTCATGCAGCGTTTAAGGCCATTGGCCCACATCACATCGTACAAAACACTCATTTGTTAAATAAAGTTGTCATGAAGAAAAAGTACTGATTGTGCAATGTGCTCATGTCTCTTATCATGGGTCGAACATTGTCTGTTTCTGTCACTGGGCCGAGTCAGGCTGGGAGGAATTAACAATTTCCTTAGATGGGCACACTTTAAACAATAAAGAATAAAGTGAAATTCATTTTCAATTTCATGAAAGTTACCCTCTCACATACGGTGCATCTAGGGTGATATTATAGTAACAGCTCTTTGCAAAGGTACAACATTATATAAAACAAAGGATTATTCTTTTAACATGCAGACCTAATCATTTTTTTATGCTTTACATCCCCATCTATTTAGATCATTTAGGAGGCCGGGATCTTCGAGTGTCTTCGACCCTGTCATTTAGAGACATGCAGTCCGGAGCGAAAGAGGGATGCCGTCTCAGCAACAGTGATAGGCGGTTCCGGGGTTGTTTTCTTTTTCGGTAACCGTAGATTCCCGATTCTTAAAAGGCGAAAGCTGGGAATCGTAGAAAAGGAGTCCGAGCCCAATTACTTCCTACTGATGTGATTTCTTCCAGGGAGTCCATGATTTCTTTCGGTGTGTTCCCACCCCATGACAAATACTTGGTTACTTCCGCCGGGTAGAATTTACTTCCGTAAGTCCGACCCCTAGACAAATAGCCTACTCGATTACTGCCGGCGAGAAGTGATTACTTCCGGTGAGAAGTGATTATTTCCGGTGATTAGTGATTACTTCCGGCAAGTCCATGATTACTTCCGATGGGTCCAACACCTAACCAGCCAGTTACCGGTTACCTGATCAGCTCCGCCGAACAGCTTTATGATTCAATATAACCTGGATTTGGGAATACGGTGAGGGACCAACATTTTTTTTTCGAAATAAGTTATGTTTTTTGGTTGTTCTTTTTTTTTTTTTGGGGGGGGGGGGGGCAAAGAGAAAACTTAAATAAATAAGGTAATTTGTAACCCTCCGTAGAAAGGAATCGGAACTTTTCTTTCGTCGAACTGATCTCATGAATCGATCCCGATAAATAATATTCTTCGTCCAGCACTACTCAGCAGAAAGACAGATACGTCCGATCAGAATTCAAGTACACTCCAAAAGGAGATTTGACCCAGGAACATGTTCACCGTAGCCAAACACGATACTTACTGACCTTACGGAAAGCCCACCACACATAAAGCTATAGCAAAAATTGTAAGGAAAACTAATTAATGTTAAAAATGAAAGGGAAAAAAAACACATTTCTAGTTTTAGTTACCGTTTTACTAGTCTTGCAACTCAATAAGGTCAGGTCATATAAGCACCAAACATTAGAGGTGTTACAAGAGAGTAACAAACACCAAAAAGGAGGAGAAATAAAGACGATAGATTTTTGATAGGAAAGAAGGAGCAAACCACAGTACAGCACCACGCCAACCACCCACAAATAAACTCTATAACAGCTGATTTTTAAAGATTAGTTTGAATACACGATGAACGGAACGTCATCTCCTTGACTCTACACAAGGAGCTAGGCCTAAGCTCACGGGTGGTTGACGGGTACCATTGGTATGTCCCAGATCTTCTCTTTCTCTCTCTTGTTTTCGTCTGCATGTCTTACTTTCCCACCAAAACTAGATTGCCATTATCGTATTGACGTTATTCTCTTTACTCACCACCCCTCCCCCCAAACACCCCCCCCCCTTCAAAAAATGTAAATGTTCAGTCCCAATGAACTCTCACCAGACTTTGGCGGCCATTTTCTCACTGTATTATTTTTTTTTGAGTGGTTGGCGGGTACTCTAGTGTAGTTTGGTCTCCTTCTTTCCCATCAAACGTCTATCGTCTTTACCTCCCCTCCTTCTTTTTTGTGTTTGTAACTCTCTTGTAACACCTCTAATCTTCGACACTTATATGACCTTATTGTGTTGCAAGTGCCGTAAAACTCTTACTAAAACAAAACAAAAACTCACTCTATTTTACCTCTGAAGCCAATCGCGAATACCTTGACTTCTAAGGGAAAAGATGAGTTTTTAAAATCAAAAGCAAGACGAGAACACACTTTGATAAATAATATTTATAAACCCCACATGCCCCAAAATTGACGAGCGCCTGATTCTACCACGTTGTGACACATATTAGAAGTGAGACCTCAACAGGACCGTTATGCTCCTTGCAATAATTGCTGGTAGTCTCAACGAGACCGTAAAACTCCACAAAAGGCTTTTCCAAAGACGAATGACTATATCGTTGTGTTCTACAATTATTGTACATTTTCAAAGCGAGACCAGATCTGTTGGCGTGCTGTGTTTGTCATGTTAATTCATGCATTGCTGTTCACGATTAAAATCAGAGAGAGAGAGAAAGAGGGAGAGACAGAGGGAGAGAGAGAAAGAGAGGGGGAGAGAGAAAGAGAGAAAGTGGAGGAGAGAGATAGAGTGAAGGAGAGGGAGGGAGAGAGAGAGAGAGAGAGAGAGAGA